TGGTCGGAGCTGCCTATGGGAGCCCGCTTCTCAATGAAAAAGATTTCGGGGCTATTTACAAAAATCCCGTCGAGTTGGACACCAAGCCTGGTAGGAAAATTTACAAGATTCGTCAAGCCTAAAGTTGTGAAGAAAGAGATATTAAAACGATTAAAATCACCAGCAGCAATGCATAAAGACTGGTCTAAACCGGTTACAAGTTGTGAAGAGAAGGAGTCGACAAACAGACGAATATCAGAGGCAGGCGTGTCGGGAGCGATGTAAATGTTCGCTAATGTAATATGATGAAAGTGACTAATAAATCGGGGCTTACAATAAACAAAAATACAATTTATCTTGGAAGTGTTGAATTGAAAACATTTATGCGCGTTTTTACACCATTTTCTGTTGATGAAAATGACAACTCCACCACCTCTGTGAAGGAAGCTCGCATTACGATCGACTCGGAATATGTCAAATCCATCAAGATGCACGACGCTGTCCTCAATGTCAGGATATAACCAGCTTTCCTGGAGTAGAATAGCCCCTACATTCTTGCATTCCTTCTGGTATATCATGCTCTTGATATCATCGAGTTTTCCCGTGAGCGAACGAACGTTAACTAAGATAATAGATGGAACAGTCAAATTATCAACAGAACGCCGCCTAAGCGCCACACGCCAGCCAGCACGGTGCTTTTTATGGTGTCCTTGAACAGCTTGTTGCAGTCGTTTGAATCGATTTCTCACAGAATGGGCAAAAATCAGAAACTTATGTTTCTGCGCGATAAACTGCAAGGATTTCAAAAATATGGCGTTGTAGGACAACATTTGACCTTGAGAATATGGCGAGTTGATTCAAAAGTGATGTTAACGAAGTTCCTCCACGTAACTTTACGAAAATAATATTCCACAAAAACAAGGCACGGCCAAATTCGAAGGTCCCGCTTCCACGTAGAAATGCGATACGAGTTTGTCTGTGGAAAGCCTTCACTTTCAGTAGGAATTGGACTATGACCTATGCAGATGACATTGTACTGATAAGTGAACTAGATTTGTTGTAAGCCCTTATGGATACATTGAGAGAACAAGCGAACAAGCTCGTGTTCAGTAATTCGTAATCAGGCCATTACATAACGGTAAATATGACTAACAATAAGAACAAACCACGGATGATAGATTTGGGTCCTAATGGCTTAGCTCCGGCTCCACTCAATCGTGCATATGTGCTTGTGTGAGATGGATCACAGTGTCAAAAGTTCAAGTGATTGCACACTTGTTGGAGTGGATGAAATGGGCCAGGGGAAATTAAATACTTGCACAAATTTCTTCTGGGCGCACAAGTGTGTCTGTGTGTGGGGAGGTTGTGAATACGAATACTTTCGGCTTCAGCCGCTCTTGATTGCCTACATCGAACTTTGTAAATCGGTTGGAACGCGCTTGCCACATCCACCGAGTGATTTGACTCAAAGAGATGCGAATACACTGCACTTGTAATTATCTTAATTGTTCCAGTCATCAACCAAGCCGGGTGGTGTTCCCGAACGCGATCGGATAAGTGCCTGGTGCGGCCAATATACCCAGTTCCACAGGAACAGGTGAATGAGTATACACCGAATGAGGCTGCAGAATCTGGCACTCTGTACTTCAGTCGGATACACATAATCGGTCTAAATGTGAACGGTTTTTAATTGTGCGGTGTAAAATGTTCTGCTTACTGCACTTGTGAGCTTTCTTTAAAAGATTTCCGCCTCCGTATCTCCCCTTAAATGGCAGATACACATAGACACATTTCTTCGCTGCTCCTAATTCCTTTGGCTGTTCCTCTTGTTCTAGCACTGCCCTATAGATTGATCATTCGGGGTAGCCATTCTGGACAAAAACAGAACGTAGGAACTGAAGCTTACTGTCGATGGCGTCTGTTGTGCATATTTTGTTCGCTCTTTGATTCAAAGAGCGAATTAGATTTATCTTTCTCTGAAGAGGGACAAAACTATGGAAATGGATGTTGCTTTCTTATTCACCGATAACTGGACCGAGCTATCGCTGCGGAGTTTCATGAGTACGTCTAGAAAAGCTAGACTATTGTCCTTTTCATTTTCTAGAGTCAAATGAATTCTTCAAACAACTGATTAGTGCCCGTATTTTGAATCTGTTGTACATAATATATCATCGACGTATCGTCTGTACAGGGTATATTGTCTGATGTGAGGCTCCAGGGGATCGTTCTCAAGTTTTGTCATAAAGGTATCGGCTAATAGGGGTCCTAAAGGTGATCCCATTGCAACCCCATCCGTTTGGCGATATAATTCACCATTGAACTGAAAGTGTGCTTTATGCGTGCACACGAATAACAATTGTTTCAGCTCATCCAACGAAATTCCCACATCGATGTTGTTCTCTTGAATAAATTCACATATGTGATTGATAGTTTCACTAATTGGCACATGCGTGAAGAAAGATGTCACGTTAAATGACATCATCTGTTTGCCTTCGAGTTTGAGGTCCCTCAAAGCCTCTTCAAGATGAAAAGTGTCTCGTAGGCTGTCTGCAAATTGCGAGTCTTACTGGTTCCAATATGCTTGCCAACCACTCCGCGTGATACTGGGAGTTACACATATTTAGAATGGGTCTCAGAGGGACACCCTCTTTGTGTACTTTCGGAAGTCCATCAAATCTAGGAATTTTTGTACCCGTTGATCGTGTTCTCTCGAACGTCAGTGCGTCGATTGTTCCTTTTTGCTTCAGATGTCGTAATTTCGTGGAGATCAGTTTTTCCTATCTGATTTGTCTTTTTAAACGGGTCATTCAATATTACCCCCATCCTATCTATGTAAACAGACTTATTCATGATCACAGTACCTGCACATTTGATAACATCAATTCTCTATTGGCCTGCAACTCTTTGAGTCGCTTTAAGTGTTTGCAGTCCCTTCTCTGATAGTTTACGATCGCGATATTGATAACATGAGTTCACAATTGTGGATTTGAGTTTCTCTAAATCCTGCAAAGAAGATGGCACCAGTCCGAATAGCTGATCGAACAAGCTCTCAAATTTAACCTCTAAATGTAACTGTTTAATCTTTTTGGTTGAACAGCAGACACATTTCTTCGCTGCTCCTAATTCCTTTGGCTGTTCCTCTTGTTCTAGCACTGCCCTATAGATAGATCATTCGGGGTAGCCATTCTGGACAAAAACAGTACGTAGGAACTGAAGCTTACGAATTAACCGTAACTTATTATTTCATCAACGTAGCGGCTGGTTTTCCATACTATCACGGATCAAAGGTTGTATCAAACATGGCGCGGGTACATTTAGGCGACGTAAACCTTATTATGTATGATGTATGTAAAAGATGCTCTGATCAAGATAATGCGGTATACTATGGATTTTTCTTAGCCGATACTCACTTAATTTTAAGTGTGCGAAATGATTTGCCTCACGAAATACTTATATTTTCTATTTACACAAAAAATATATGGACCATAATGGCAATGGAACCATGAGACTTCAGACAACCAGAAATAACGCCAAGCATAAAAAACATGCATCAAGGAATCCAATTGTCAAACATACACTGCTCAACGGACAACACACAACAGCTCTTACGCACACGCACACGCGTACGCATGTGACTCAACAATAGCACCGCCCACTCCCAGTATCACTTACTTCCGATGTAACTTTACGTTTCTGACACTGTTTGTTCCGTCGTTGAGCGGCTCGTTGACTGACACTGTTTTGGATTTGGTGAAATGTGTCATTCACCACCGAGTTCAAATAAATCGTTTTCTCCCGTGTACGCGTATACAGGCGTTCAATAGTCTGTTGTTTGCGAATATGATATGCAAATGGTGTTCAAACATGAACTTACCGCGTCCAGGGCAGTGATTTGCCTCTGCAATTCAGCTGCTTCACGTTGTCGTTTCTGTAGATAAATAGACGCAGACAGATAGCTAGATTGATGGAGAAATAAATAAATAAACAGACAGATAAATAGATAAATAGTGAGTGATTGAGTGAGTAGATGTACACAACCCTGATATGATTTTTGGACCGCAGTCTGAGCTATATATGAGATAATACTCAAAAGGTTTCCTTTCTCCTCTGTCGTACATCGCATCAAAGAATTTCACGTGATAGATCAAATAGATTGCATTAAACGATTGTTCAAGGATTGGCTGAATTTTTTCTTATTTATAAAAACTAAAATTCCATGTCTGGAACGGAATGCCATAAGTATGAATAAAAGTAGTTGTTCTGATCGACGATAATACCGTGATAAAATGCATAAAACAGTACTCGGTGGAAAAGTGTGGTAATAATGGTGATGTCAAGAGCGGTGATACAAGTTAGAATTGTAAGAACGCGTTATGTTATCTAGTAACTTTAACTATGGCCTGCACGAGTTCTGTGGATCTTAGGTATTAAAATTAGCAGGAATTACTCCGGCTCGCCTATCGGCATCCTGATACAACCATTGTTATTGGCCTGCTATACTGTATTTCGCATTTGCATCATTATTTCTGATCAATATGTGTAATCCAGTTGCATATATTTCTCAATAATGAGCAACAATTGGATCAAACACATGTAGGTGACTGTTCTATTTACCCTGCTTCAGTGAGGCTGGAAGGAGAACTCTACAGAAGAGGGAAGATTTATAAGCATCCGATGAGAAACAGAGAATTTGGGAGTTATGAAACAAGTTGATACTGAGATGATACCATGCACGAACTTCAACTAAGAAATCTAAATCATACAGCTGAAAAATTGTATCATAATCTTTACCCAGAAAAATCACTCATTTCACTCAATAATTCTCTTGCTTGATTAACGACTTAGTTGATTCCCGCGGCTTCTAAAATGAAAGTGATTTCCAAATTTCCCCTATGTTATACATCATCCAGTTATGGTTATTATGAGATAATGTCTTGCTGTCCTCGGATTACATTACAGCCTCGGCGAATAGTCACAAATGTTCCTCAGTATTGTGAAATCAAATTTTAACTGCAAATAATCTGTTCGTCTACGATCTAAGTTCCTGTTTTCGGGACTTGATCTCAATCAGATCACCCTTTATGAACAGCTGCTGCTAGGAATATCCATAAAGTGGATCATTCAATAGAGAGATGTGTATACCGATATATTAATGAATAACTGAAGTTGACAAGTGAATTACTTCGCAGCGTTTTATCTGCTGGTCAGTATCTATAGTCGAAAGATTGTATTATATCTAAGTTTAAGTACGCAGATGAGCACACAGTGCATTGAATAACACGTTTTTTAGGAACGGCAAATCTGTCTGTCTGTCTGTCTGCATGTCTGTCTGCATGTCTGTCTGCATGTATGTCTGTATGTATGTATGTATGTATGTATGTATGTATGTATGTATGTATATGAATGGTCTATTCTGTAACATCTTTCTTCATTTGTCTATCCACATTTCCGTTTTGCACAAAGTATACTGACCACAAGAATATTAACCTGTACTACAGCATCGGTAAAAATTATCCTCCTTGACTAAGAAGTATAGCAATTGAACGGATCACCAAAGTAGAGATTTCATTCCCTGTGGACACTAGTAAACGCACTGAAGCGTTTCAACTGTTGCACGGAGTCCAAACTGAACATTCTATATGATATTTGGAATTTTTATACTGCAAAATAGTCAGTATTCTACTCCAGAACCACCCTTTGTGTGTTCCCAGAGCAGTTTGTGCAGGCAATTCTTTTCCCTAGGAGAAGCCCAACTTGTGAATGCCACGTGAACGAGTGATAACTAGCACTTGTTGAAATTCAAAATTCAATTTCAAGATGAACATGAATTATGAAACTGTCGTTGTGGCACGAAAAAGGCACTCCGAAGGCGATCTTTTATGTTCCGAGCATGAGCATCGTTTAAAGAAATGCAGCGAGGTTCAAAGGTAGTGGACAGTAGTGTTTTCTGTTTGCTTTATGTGGCAAACACCTAATCTAGGAAGGTGGTAACCGAGACCATTATTGTCGATGGTTAGGCTAGAAGGAGCTTTCAAATAGTGAGCCTAACTTGAAGTATCCTAACTACTACATTTGATAAAGGCTGGGTCGGGGAGGAGGTTGAAGTGAATAGCATGGACATAACATAAAAAGATCGGGAAGCAATAAAATATTCGTAGGTAAATTTTTTGATTGATAGACGTTAGATTATGAAGAATAGGCCATGTCAAATTGCAGTGAGGTTTCTCGAATAGGAGTGAATTTTTGCTATATTCAATTTAAAAAATGAACTAAAAGAGATGGTTCATTTTGTCAAACGGGACGAGGACTCTTGACCGCGTTTGAAGCTCATTTCTGGTCCCTTTTTTCCAAAAATGTTATTTATATTCTAGGGAAAACGTTTAGAGTAGGTGTGAAATCACAAAAAATGGGATTCTTACCGGCAGTTAGTGGAAGGGTCAATATGCCACACATGCCGAAGCAGAACCCCACCGGGGATGACGTCCATATCATGATGCAAACTCAGTTACGCCTGATGGAGTTGCTGACTGCTCGCCTGGCTGGTACAGGATTAGCAACCTCCACTGATTCGTGCACTGCAGACCACATTGTCCGCAATCTACTAGATTTTCA